AATTACAAATAATTAAAACTTTTAAATACTTAATTTGATAATAATATTGATATATACATTTTAAATTTTTTTATGATATTTTCAAATTTATATCTTATTCAAAAATAAAATAATTATTGCTTTCTCAAAATCATATAAAACCGTATTATATCGACATGGATAAATAATAAAATGAAACATTGAAATCGAGATATGTCTCGATGCATTGCACGCGTACCCTTCTAGTAACTCTTAAATATTGATATACTTAAAGTTATGCGATTAAATCGAAATGAAAAACTAAAAATGTGTATGTCTGTAAATATGTTTGTAGCAAGTGACCAACTTGGAATAAACAAACGAATATTTAGGGGATGTTTGACATTTGCTGAATGGTTTGCTGCATAATGGTTAAGTGGTCGGAATGATTAAGAGGCTCTGATGTTATAGTGCAAAATAAAATGTAATTGTTTAGTAATTATTTAGAACGAAATTAGGGTGTTGAATGGTTAAGAGATACCCATGATACAAAATCATTCAAATGATTTTAGAACAATTAAGAGACAGATTTTTTTGACAAACAAGATTCATCTTTTAATGATTCAGATATTGTCTTTTAATGAAACTATTAAGAGGTAAACAAATAACCCCTTTAACTTTTATAATAGACTATTTATAAATCCGATAGTTACCTCAATTTTCTGGAATCTGACGTGATTTTCTTTACTGAATAGCAACATGTCACCTACTGAGTGACATTTAGTTATTGAATAGAACTTAAAAAACCTAGTTGTAACAAGTTAACTATTACTTATATATTATATAAAAGGCAAATTGTATGGAAAAGTAACGTACTTTAACTTGATTTTATTTTGGGTAACGTACTTTTAAAACTTTCATTTTGGTACTTAAGATGTAAAGTTTTAAACATTTAAGTATCCGGATAACCGGTTGAAGTATTAACCGATTATCATGTTGATGTGACGAGTTATAATTAATCAATGATAACTTTATCCTTTTAATTATTTATTTTTGAAACTATACATTTATTTTAAGACAAACATAAATAAATCTATAGATAGTTATTTTCGAGTAATAGGTAAAAGCAGAGATAAAAAGATGTGGTTAAGGGTGCTTAAAAAACCGATCAACTCGACCAACACGGCCAACCCAACTCGAAAAATTCAACCCATGATAACCCCATCATATTTGATAAACTCGTATATTCTTTCGATCGTATTTTAAAGGAAGGATGTTCCCAATTTTGATTTTGCTTTACGTAAAAACGACCCGACCAAACTGACTAACCCGAACGGGTTAGGTTTGGCTTGGGTTAAAAAAACATAAACCGTCAGCATTAAGTTGGATTATTCAAATACTTTCAACCCGATCAAATCAACCCGTTAACATATGTTGGTGGTGTGGGTTGTAAAACATGAGTTATTAGATTGGTTTGTTATTCAAGTTTGTTGGTTCAACTAAATTCACCAAATTAAGATTCCTTTAACTTGCAACTTTGTTATTATTATTCCACTTTGGCCCCATTAATCCTCCTCTAATAATAATAATAATAATAATAATAATAATAATATTATTATTATTATTAGATCATATATTAAACAAAGCTGAACACATGTAATTCAAAATGTAGATTCAAAACATAGAGAAAAAATAGTAAAATATTAATGAATTAATTGTGGATATCACATACCTTAATTTCTAAACCTCTAAAATGTGGTTATTTTATGGCAAAGGGTTGTGTAAACCGGTTATTTTTATAAATAACCCTATGTATAATGCAATAATAATATAAAGATA